ACTTTACCGTAAATGTCAATTCATGCCATATTATAAAGCCTAATTGAATCCCAACAAGCGTATGTTAGAAGTATGTAACCCTTCTTCCCTAATTCTTTATTTCAAATCGGCACAGCCAGCCAGCCTAAATTTGCGTTGATTTATTGACGTTTATTCACGATTAAAACTGGACTCTCTACAAACTGTCACCTTCACTGTTTAGGTGGAATTTCAGATGAACGTAAAATGAGTTTACTCTCTCGCCCCAACTAATTAACTTTTTGCTGTAGTTTTCTCGCACGCTTGCTGCGGTTTTGCGATTACCCACAGAACTCTCTTAGACGATATTTTAGTACGCGCAATATTCGCCCTTTCCGGCGGCAATTAAATTGTCCGCAATTAATTTTTTTCCCATGACTATTGAGCGATCCTGAAATTCACACAATTCTCGCGCGAAACGAAATAGCGCTGAAAAAACCCGTCCTATTAAAGCATAATAATTCCTGAAGGATCCCCCAAATGATTCGAGATTTCTCGAGAAACACTAATTATTCTCTTGAGTTCTAAATAAGGGCCAAAATTGGATGCCCCAAAACACAACTTTAGGTACTACATTAACCAACGCTCTGTGCTCTCTGGGTGAACTATCTTTCTTTAAGCGAAAGAGACTCGCGTTACTACCTGAAGTGCACGATAGTTACACTATTCCTAGAGAATGCACGCCCTAAATCTTTTGCACAATTCATTTCCACAATACAGGATATGACGTAGTCCTGATTCTGCGGTTTGGAGCGCGCCAAATTAATTATGATAACATTATCTCTTGTTCCTCCGACAAAGTGCTGCCGATTATTTCCGAAAGACATTTTTCACTGCCCTATAGAATTCTATTACGCAGAAAAATATATGATCGCTAAGTTTAAATGAAAACTACAAACTATCCCAAAAAGCTGAATTTAGGTACCTAAATTTTGAATTTATCAAGTCTTATACTTCGACTATACTTCTGCTATCAAACTTATAACAATGCGCCCCCGAGAGAAATTAAACCTTCAACCTACAGAACAATTTAAAAAAAACACTCCCTTACAGCGCTACTGTTACGGAAGGTTCCCGACTTTTTTGGTTAGCAATTTGAAGATTGTCTTTTTATAAATGTTTCATTTCTTAAATCGGGTAGTTTAACTTCACAAGTTAAGTAGTATAATCTGAAAATAAAGTCAGGCAATCTTTGAAATATTTCATATTTAAGTCAAGTAATATGGAATCTCATAAAGTTAATTGTTTTGATAAATCACTTATTGTTTTGTTGTTTATTTGTTCTTTATTTTTTGATAATTTCTACCATCATAATTGTGTATCTCATTTGTCAAGAAAAAAGCCACGTCGTTACTTACCTTAAGTTTACAATAGCAAACCGTGTCATAAAACCGTAGTACATTATTACCATTGACTTTATACACTATGTAAAGTCAATGTTATTACTACCATAAATGCTTCAAAGTTGTTACTTATTTATTGCTGATTACTGTCTTTATACTTTCTTGTCGTAGATTTAATAATGACAAAGGAACTTATTTAGATGAATCTGGTGGTTTCAGGTTTCAGTACTTGCCTATTTATCCTAATCTTGATACATCGTATAGTTGAATAAGGGTGGAAAAGCGTCATAGATCACGTCATCACTGAATCCATAAAAACTAACGAACTCTGCAAGAAAAGCGCGCAAGAAAATTGTGTGCAATAGATTTGCAAGGTACAAATTGCCAATCAATATTTCTACGTGTGAGCTTTATGAAGGCAACATCCAACATACAACTGAATATGCACAGGAAAGTTAACATCATTACATCAAACCACTTTTCATTGCTTTTACGATGAAAAGATATCATCACAACTATTGTCACAATGTCACATATCCAAATTATATTTTATAGTTCGGCCTGATGATGACCACAATAGGTTGAAATCGATAGCCTAAGAACAAATAAATAAACGTGTCAAAATATTTCTACATACTTCATTAACCCACACGTCTCACACTTAATAAAAGATGAAAGGATGGAAAATTACATCCAATTTTGTAAATATAACGTCTAATATTCTCTGTCTGTCGCTCGAGGGCATTATATCGAAGCCACTGTAAGATAGCATAGATTATATACCGCTACAGTTTTCAATAGATAGTTCGTTCTCTTTGTATTCGGTAGGTACCTTATTTATAGCGCATCGGAGCCAAGGAAAATGACGGATCTGATACATGTCAACTGTTTCATTTATAAAAATCTTTTCTTGAAATTTTATCCACAGGTGCTTCTGTACACCCTCGCATACAATAAAAATCAAATGTGCATACGTAAACAACGCAACGTCAACATTAAATATTTTTTTGACTATTCAATTCATCTAACATTTGTCACATTTCAACCAGTGAAATGTCTCGATTTCAAATTGCTGCGCCAATGGGAACGAATTATAGTGATAATTTCACGTGTGGTATTTCAGCGACAATTCAACTCATGTATAAAAAATCGCATAAGCCGCAGTGAAATTGTCACTTTGACAGCGGCAAAAGTTACCTGCAACTTTTCCAGCGACAAATGCACTAGTGGTTTTTTCACTTATTCATTTTCGAACCAATTATCGCATTATCCTTTCCCATATGACTAGTTTGACGTCTGTCAGTAATTGATTAGTTATGCGAATTTCTTGTTCGTTAAATTGTCCTGCCGAATTACACTCGAGGTTTGTATTTAAACCGAGTAAATTTGTGTTGTTGCAATTCAAATCTGTTGCCTTTTAGCAATTGAACTCGAAAAACTGTCAACCTAAAAATGCTCCACCTGCGGTGTCGCATTTTTATTAGTTGACAGTTTTTCTCGTCTAATTGCTAGGCAACAGATTTTCATTACCTAAACAACCCAAATTTACTCGGTAAAATACAAACCTCTTGTGCAATTATAAGTGACAATTCAATGCGATTATTCAATGACATTTGTCAAACTTCCACCAGTGAAATGACGCGAAATTTTGTCGTATTAACCGGAACATTCTTCTTAGTTTGTTAATCAATTTCGACAACCGACTTATCACCACATCTTTTAATTTAATCACTCATAACGAATTAGCTTGGAGCACAAAAGTTCGAATAGAATCAATAGCAAAATGAAAAGCAACTTCCATAATTTATTTTGACGTTTATTGTTGTCATGGAAATACATTCGCGTGGGTAATTATGCTTAATTTTTCTTTTGATTCATTGAATAGTCCTCCGAATACCATTCGTAGTCGAAGTATTTGTAGATTATTTTTGAGCTGCTGCTCCACTCATGCTAGTTACGCTTTTTAATACCACTCGCGCAAGCGCTCGTGGTATTAATCAGCGTAACTAACATTCGTGACAGCACCTCAAAAATATTCGACAATACTTCGACTACTTATGGTATTATATATGAATATTCAACTATAGACAGTAAAGACAAATATATCGTATAGGTATACTATACAGTGATAGCCCTGTGGCAGGCTACGAGATTTGCCTTTGAAGGCTTTTCTCGTATGGCGACAATTTAGCATCATGTTCCACCTATCCCTGTGCTGGGTTTGGGTGTATTGCGATTAAGTTAAGCTGTTTACAGTTGCAACTGTAAATGAAAAAGCCGACTCTGGACCATAAAAACACTTGGTTTGAGGTCAGTCTGGCTAACTCATCGGCTTTCTCATTACGTACCCTTCCAGCGTGCCCTTTGACCCATGCGAACTGAAGGGCGTTGCTGTTTTCTACTTGCTCTAGTGCATATAGGTAATTTTACAGTGACCAGGTGTCTGCAGGGTAGCTCTGCCGTCACTGGATATTCTGATTGTTCTTTATGTTATGCATAAGAACTTTTCTTGCATTAAGCGTTGGTACTATGAACTCTGATTGGAATACAGTAAGAAGTTGATTGTTGAATGCATGTTCCTTCCATTGTTTTAGATCCATCGATAAAGATGAGTATGCCTGATTGGGATGTCACATTCTCATCAAGAAAGATGAAAGATTTTTCCCTAATATGAACTGAGGGGTGTGTGAGTCCGATCGCCCTTCTAGGATAGGCAATCATTAATCACCTCGCCCAGAATTCGAGAGTGGCCCACCTCAAATCTCAATACCGGTGTTATTCAACAACCCCCTACTTTTCAGACGCAAGAATGTTAGAGTGGCCTGCTCTCTCACGTGGAGATCTAGTGGGGGCAGACCTTCGCACGCGTCCGTGCCAGCAAGAAACGCAAGTCTTTGTACATTCTTAAGAAATGCTATTATATAGTATAAATCAACGTGCGCATGCGCAGACTGCATAACACCAGATTTCTTACTTATATCTACCATTCCAGACGGTCCTGATCTGTGCATTCAGAATGCGCTAAAGTTATTCTACTTAGGGCAAAAATGTGTTTTTTATTAAACTGCTACATTTTTTCCACCCGTATGTTAGCAAAGTTATTGCATTGGGGTAGAAATTGACCCCCCCCCCTCCAGTTTTTTGACGGAAATACACGGTTTGAAGCACGAGGAATCTGAATCAAACAAAATCTTGATGATGTCGTTCGGTTTGTCGGTCTGTTTGTCTGTCTGTATGTACTCTCATTTCCAGATAAACGGCTGAACCGGTTTAACCCAATACGCACACGCATAAATACGCATTCATCCCGATGTAGTAAAATAACACTATGCACAAATCTTAAAATATAGGACATAGGAAAATACAAAGTCTTAACAATTCTCAATGGAAATATGGGAAATTTACAAAATAAGGTGTAAAGGGAACATTCTGGCATAAGTAAAAATAGAGATTTTTGCTATGGAACGCCGCGCCGACAGACATCCTACAGTGGCCAATAAATTCGTTGGATTAGAAACAAATGGAATTGTTTAGTAGGTAGGTACTTCCAAATTCCAATTGCTTCTAATCCAACGAATTTATTGGCCCTCTATTTTTACTTAGGCACATCGAAAAGTAATAATTGTTTTTTCTTTGCAGTTGCTGTAGTAGTCACCTTCTTCCTTTGTTGGGCCCCTTTTCACACACAACGACTGGTAGCCATATACGGAACTATTCCAGCTGATCATGAAGATCGTCAACTGTTCTTTAGAATTTACGAGATCGTAACATATACAAGTGGAGTTCTGTACTACTTTTCAACTACAGTAAATCCATTGTTATACAACATTATGTCCAACAAGTTTCGAGAAGCGTTCAAGGTAAGCCAAGTATCGTGTTATTAATATATTAATAAGAGTTGTGCATGGGTATTGTGTCGTTATTGTGAAAGTTGCAGGGTATTTATTGGACACATAACACCGCGTCCGGCGTCAGTTGTTGTTTTTTTCATTTTAAAATGCTATAGTCAATATTGAAGTACAATTCCGCCTTATTGCGCCCCTGTAATATATTACCATTTAACTTTGTTTATAATAAGTGGCGTGGCAATGCATTTTTCCATTGTTAATGTTATGCGTTTTTGTATGGATGTAGACGAGTTCATTGTACTGTACGTTTTGATATGTTTTGGTTGCATTTGCAATTATACTTTAAAATGAGAAAACTCGGTGTTACGTTATTTTCGCCTGAATGACATTCTATAGTCAATTTATTAAGGGGAAAATGTAATGCTCAAATTCCACTAAAAGGGCACGACATTTCTACCTACCAGTATATTGTGAGTTGACCCCAAAACGGTTTTCTTATAAAGGGTTATTCAACAAATGGTCCTTTTTTAAAATGTAAGTAAAACACATTAAATTGGATACAATGATGAAATCTTTATTATCAATTGAAAGAACATTTTTTGTCATTAATTCTTTTGAACCCAATTTTCTATCACTCTTTCAAGCATTTCGACCGGAATCTCACGAATAACACGCACAGTGTTTGCTTCCAATGCTTCAATAGTTGTCGGTTTATCGGCAAAGAGTTTTGAATTGACGTAGTCTCATAGGAAAAAGTCCAATGGCACACGATTTAGGCGACCAACTCACCAGTCCAAAACGTGAAATCAGTTGCTCTTCGAAATGACCTCTCAAAATATCCATTGTTTCACGAGCTGTATGGCAAGTGGCACCATCTTCTTGAAACCAAATGTTGTGGGGACCACGGGCTTCAATTTCAGGTAGCAAAAAGTCCGATATCATGGCGCGATACCATTCGTTCTGGCAATCATTATTTTTGGAAAATAAGGACCGATGACTCCACCAGCCCATAAACCACACCAAACCGTTGTTTTCGCTAAGTGTAGTGTAACTCTTCGGGTTGCTCTTCAGCCCAAATACGACAATTTTGTTTATTGACGAAGTGCACGAAAATCATTCTTTACAGAACGCTTATTTTCATAATACTGATCGCATAATTGCACTGATTCCAGGTCTTGGGTGTTAACAAATGTGTGTTGAAACGAGTACTTTCATTGGTCGCGTAATTGCCCTGATCGTCTGTAATATTCTCAGAAGAGTTGTGTGTGAACAAAGGTCTCGACAAACCTGACAAAGGTGTTCTCAAATTTGATTACCAGAGGAATGGTGTATTTCAGTGGCGTATCAAATTTGCGTGTTTTTAAATAGAACGCCCCATATTTTATTTCGGATTTGGAAAGTAATTGAAAAGCACTTATTTTTTATGTAACATGTTATGCCCTCAACTTTAACGAATTCCTCTTCCTTTCCCGGTACGCGACACATCGCTGTATATTTCCAAAAATTTCTAATTTAGTAAAATACCCAATCCTTTACAACATACATTTTAACTTCATATTATTGGATTCAGCTGAAATTAAAAAAGAATACCTAAGAAGAATGCATGGGAGCGCGCTACGGAGGGTATCGCGACTTTTATTATCAGCTGGTCGCGGATATATGGGATCTACAAAAAAAAGGCAAATAGATAAAATGTTGAAAATTTTCTTCTCTTTATTTTCATATACGACTATTTTTACGTAGAAACGATAGTTATTAAGTTATTTTGCAATAAAACACAAAATGGTCCCATTTTTTTTGAACAAGCTGAAAAAAATATACTTCCGGGTCGAATTTTTGGAAGAATTTTATATGGTATTCTTAATGATGATAAAACGAAGCAATTGACAAAAAAGAATCTTTCCTAGGAATTTTTTCGGCAAAAATGACGCCTGGACTATTATACATATACATACACAATATTTATATTATGTTTTATTATTGTATGGGAATTTTTCTTAAGAAGAGTACATATGCGTGTTTCATTATTAAATGCAAATCTGATTAAATTTCTTGGTGTTAACATCTTAATAAAGCGTACCGCAGCACGCGTCTCACTCTACCGCGTTACAGTATATGCGCCGAAACGAGATGACATGAAAATATTTAACTGCGTCTGCCTCAAAAATGCTACCAACCAACGCGTCTGCCAATTTGGTTTCGTTAACTAATGATGTTTCCGCATGTTTTAAGACATATTTCAACTTGGTACTAATAACGAGATTGTGAGTTCAAAATTCATTTTATAATAGGGCTTACGGGTGACCACTTACCAGCAGCAGACGAGCGGTTATTATTTTACTATCTTACGTACTATCTACTTCAATACTTAAACCATTGGTACCTTATCATGCGGTTTTTTATACGCGAGCTCTTGGTCTATATGTTTGATCAAGCAAGTATGCATGGTTCGAATTTGTTAATGTGATTGAAACCATCCAAACGACAAACGTAATTTTAAATAATTCAATTCATCGTGAATGAGGAAGAAGTTCCAGAAACTTTACGAAATAAGTCCAATCTTGTGATTTAGTATAGGTGTTGACAATTAATAATTGACGTTTCAAATTTCAACCACCCATTCCCGAAAAAAATGGAACTACACGAATTACTTTTTCTATATTTCGTAGAATGACTGGACTATACAGTTATTTATTCAATTTATTATTACTTCGACATAGCTCCCAAAGGATCCATTCTGACGTACGGCTTATTTTGAAACTTTGTTTGCTTCCTTCTACCACCCAAATTTTGTTTGACGTCATTCATTGTTGCATAATGTACAATCTCATTCAAGTATTCTCATGTAGGTGTCTGGCATGAAATAGAATCGTATATGCCCGTAATGGGTAATTTTTACAAATGAGCTTCTTGAATCAAAACTATCTACAATTCTGGAAGGAATAAAGCTTCGCTTCATATTTCGACGTATAGAACTTAATGTGAATGGCAGGGGTTATCCCAAGCAAAGAATAAGGCAATCTTAAAAGATAAATTGCATCTCATCGACATCTAATTTTGATTTAATTAATAAATTTTCGTATAATGCTTTTCCATACATAAGAGCTCTTTTGTGTAATTCGATGGGCACTTAACGGTAATTTTTCACTCCCAATTGAAGGGGCACATGGATGCAGGGGTTATATAATATTTTTTTTTGCAAAATGAGTTATGTGCATGAATGAAAGTGTTACGTACCTATCTTACTCATACCCTATAATAACAATGGTCTATTTGACTCCTTCATCCGCGTTTTAATTGAACGCGTCTCTTACTTGTCACTTGTGCTCTATCCTTTATGTATCCATTAATGGCGAACATGGTGAAAAACAATATACAAAGTATGTAAAGTGTACTTAGTGATGACTTGGGATATTACTGTTGACAAAATTACAAAACGAATATTTTGCAAAGAAGGCTCCTTAACCTTTCCTAAATACGATATTAATATATTTCTATAAATTTTCTTTGTTAAAAAGTTCAAAACCAACTGACAAACATCAATTTTTCTCAAAAACCTTTTTTACTATGTAACCAACTTCATCGGCTTCATCCACCTCCCCTTCAATTGCTTCTAAACGCGTTGGTTAAAGTAAGACATATACTCGTAGAAGACGATATTTCAACATTATTCCTACGGAATGTAAGCGCACGAAAACGAATTGAAATTAAAGTAACAATTACATGGTTACCGCAAAGTTAAAGTCTCCTTTGGAAAACCATAGTTTAGGTGCTTTAAATTATCAACAACAACAATTGGGTAGTTTCAGTACTCAAACTACCTTTACCATCTTTGTAAACTACCAGGGCATTCATTTAAATTCCGCATCAGCCACCCCTTCACATAACTACTCACACATTGACAATAAATATGCATTTTCATTTCGAATGTAAGTACTTGGTTACTTATCATATCAGACTTTAATTTTCAGGAAACGTTCGCGGCATGCTGCCGAATCCGATTTATGTCGCCAGAACACCCAAAGTGTAGCTATGCGGTTCTCTCACGATCAATCAAGAGGGGACAGGACTCATGCACAGACTCCTCCGGAAAAGATGATGCTAGTATCCAGACCAACGTGACGAGTTCCTTCAGAATTCCATCAGATGCTGTGAATACGCAAAGGTGAGTGAATGTAGGTAACAACTAAATAGTTACTATATATAACAGATATCACATTAATGTTTTCCGTTTGTTTCCTGGCACCCTTTCGTAGGAGTTGGTATTGGGATTTTTTTCTCTTTACGTTTGCTATATAATACAGCGCAAGCAAAACAATCGCATCAGTAAAACTGAAAGCTGACCTGTAAAAATTTTACAAGTTAGTAATCTAGTAATTTCATTGGCCAGAATTAATGCGAAGTCTCTGTTACATGGATAACATGATATTTTAGACATTTCTTCAAGATCAATTTAAGAACTAATTATTTACGTTTACTATTGTTTACAAATGAGTAACAAATAAAATATTGTACATTATACGCCAGGTAATAATTTTTACTGGCTCTAGGAGATGACAAGCTCGCCTAACGGCTCGCTAGTCAACTTCTCCTATCGCCAGTAAAAACTCACTTACCTGGCTAATAATGTAATAGTATTTTACATGTCATCTCCTAGAGCCAGTAAAAACTATTACCTGGCGTATAATGTATAATATTTTATTTGTTACTCATTTGTAAACGTCAATAATTAGTTCTTAAATTGATCTCGAAGAAATGTTCTAAAATATCATATTATCCATGTAACAGAGACTTCGCATTAATTCTGGCCAATGAAATTACTAGATTACTAACTTGTAAAATTTTTACAGGTCAGCTCAGCTGTCAGTTTTACAAGTCAGTAGCGTTTAAACATGACGTTTACCCGTTTGCGTTTTGTCTTGTTAATCAACGTTTACAACTGAGTAACAAATAAAATACTATTACCATGTCTGTTTCCGAGACAGTACGTGACGTTTACTGGTTGCTTACGATTTAGTTAGTAATGACATTGAATAAGTAATCAACTTATTCAATCAGGTTATATCTACTTATTTGTTATTTAATTATTGTAATAATCGATTAGTCCTAAGAAAATTACTTACCGTTCTAGAACACCAAAATACTTACCGTCGAGTTTATCGTTAGCAACCAAAAACGTCACACAGTGTCTCGGAAATTACGTGGTAAACAATCAAATAGAGCTCAATCGCGCATATAGTTTATATTGCGTACTTTGTCCTGGTCGAGATAGTTCATTTGGAATGAGACAAACTAATTACTTCTAGCTAGACTGCTGCAAAAAAAATGAAAATGAAGTGCCTATAAGTACACCTGTATTTAAAAGGTATTAAATGGTACTAAATATTATAAAGATTAAACGCTATTATTGAAGTATGTGCCCGCTTTAATAAATCACGAAGCCCAGATTTGTATGTACAGTGGATTTTAAGGGAATCAGTGACCATTAGAAGACTTCAAACCTGATTGTCGCACTTGTTATTGTTTGTTATTATTTATTGTTATTATTATTGTTATCAGCAAATTGTTATCATACCGTGAACAAATGAAAAAGGACAAACCTTGGTCTATTGATACTAATTCAAGACTCCTCAAAAGAGAAGACAAGATACGGGCAAAGGGTGGAACAGGGTGGTGGATATATTTTTCCGTACAATATCCATTACTGCAAGAATCCAACAAAAATTGAGATCAATAGCAATATGACCGAAGACATAAACCTATGAGGGAACGAACGGGTAGGCACATGTCGTCACTATAGCAATGAAAGTATGGCAATGGTAAATTGTGTAATCCTTAAACTAGAGTAGCCAAATTACGCGTCTCCATAGGCTGTACCATATTGATGTAATAGGACTTAAACATGCATTCACTGAAGGCTTATTACAACTTCCCGATGTATGAGCAAAGCGAGTTACGTTAAATGAAATAGTTTACAATGGCCCATATGAATAAAAGGAAGCAAATGCTTATACTTGCAATATTCAAAGTAAATACTCGTAATTGCTCCTTCACACTGGGCGATTTAGCAGCGCTTCTGAGCAGCAGGACAGGACGCAGTGCAGCGCTGCTAAACCATGCTAAACAGACCAGTATGAAGGAGCAGTTACGAGTATTTACTTTCAATTTTGTAAGTATAAGCATTTGCTTCCTTTTATTCATACGGCCCAATGTCTTTGGATAAATTTAGCGTTGCCGTCTGAATGAATACGCCCCCCCTTTTATCTCGTACTTTCAGATCGAGTTGCTCATATCGTAGCTTCGAAAATGAAGGTTGAGATCTCAGAGTAATTTCTTACTCTGAGCATTGAATTTATAACTTCAATGCTCTGAGGTTGAGATCCGTAAGTAGCATTTGCATTATATTTCCTCTGTAGTTCACACTTAACATGAAGTTATAAAACAATGTCATTGTTTTCTTGATCGTTCATCAAACTTAACACGGACATTAGAGTAGATATATCTGCACCCCTTCCTTTGCAGTGATCCTGTTTATTTTACATATCTTTAATGTATTAGTTGTTAGCGCCTATATGGGACGTGAGTGAAATCCATGCCTCTGTAAAATAAATACTGTTCGTTTAAAACGAAGTGATTCTTAAGATGCAGGAAAGGTCTGCAACACCCCATAAAAGCTTTTAATACATTAAAGAAATACAATTTCTAAAACCGTTTGTTTAAAAGTTTAAACTGACCCACGTCAGTACCTTTACTATATGATTTCAGGTCAGTAGCAAAGTTATAGCTAATTTTCCCGTTCGGGGAGAATGCGGTAAAACTTTCGAGACACCGCGACAAGCCATTTGGGATTATAGGAAGATATTATTCACGATAAAAACGGCTCACTAAATTTGTAGTATCTTGGCGCTGTGACCAATGCACAGGGATAGTCCAGCAGCAAAAGTCTTCGGAATCTTCGCCAAGTAGATTGGGTTCGACAAGACGGCCACGTTTTTCCTCTGTGAAGATTCTCGGTAGAGGTAGCTAATGATCTGTGCAGGTGTTAAAAATCCAAGCGTGAAGCGCATCAGGCCTGGGAGAACGTACCCCTAAATTTGTAGGAGTATCACCATTTTATTATGGAAACATATAAGCTGCATAGAAAAAGTCAGCTGGTTATTAATAATTTTTATGACCTTACCCCGTGTCATGTATGGATGCACATATTTTTTGTCAACTAAATCCACCCCGTTTTACCATTGGTTGGAGGTAAATTTTATGGAAATGAGTTACGTAAGGTTCAACTTAATTGTTTGAAATTTTAGATTAACGTAAAGTTTAATAACGGGAGATAAAAAAAGGATCGACGTTCGGAAGTTCAAGTTAAATATGATTTCCCATATAAAGAAAATTTCCAAAGGTGACTCGACCGCAACTCCTTTTTGATCCCATTAAATCTGGTCTACTAAATACCTGTAAAAGCTACGGAACGAAGTTCTCTTTTTGTAGCCTATACACCCCGCCAATATTCAGCTTATTATTACAAGGTGATTCAAAAAGCTAGCGGAATATAAAAATAATATACAATATATAAAAATATATACCTAGGTATTATACGTTAAAAACATCTCCCCCGAACGATGTTAAATGAAATCATCAAACGTAAAGTGTTACATCTGATCGACGATGTACAGTGCGTTTCAGATAATAGGGTCATCACAATATCTCTTTTATTTTACCAGATACGAAAAATTTGTATAATTTTATATGTGACATTACGATCTATCTGATCGCATATTCAAACTACAGATATCACTTCCGTTCTCTCAAATTTTCTAAAGGTATTGTTGAATTGCGAGATCTACGAATTTTATCGATAGATCATCAAAAACTATGTTGGTATGCCAATTTTCAGCTTTAAATTGTCAATGAGAGCCTGAATACTTTTAGGTAACGGTTTGCGTGAAACAACTTGTATAATTAACGCCAGTATTTGTAATTATATTTTATATATGTGCAGGCCCCTGGTTATGTTTTCAACGCCCTGGGCTACATTTAGCTCGGTGCTCCCGTAATTAATTATTGGATTATTAATAAAATGCAGAGTATACTTAATGCCGTTTAATTAAGTTACGCTCAGTGCCAATGCCAACAATAAAGTGATGCATATTTACAAACACACCCTTACGTTTAAACATACGTCGGAATGTGGCAACCAAGATGTTACATAACTCAAGCGGTACTTTTAAGGGATCAAAAGTCAGTTCAGGAAATGGGCAGCACCCCATTAACTAACAACTACTTGATTTTCTAAGAATGAATACAAAGAAGGTAGGTAGGATTTTGTATTATATCCAATATTAATGTTTATAATAGTTAAATTGCGGACTTAGTGACCGAGGGTTATTTATCTGTATTGATTTTAAAACAAAATGCACCAAGAACCACAGAGGAGAGGAATATTAAAAAAATTATTGGTACTAATTTTTTTGTCATGAAAATCGTAGTAATTAGCAAATGGCTATTTATGTAACAAGTTGCAAATTGAGCGTGCGCCAAAGACAAAATTTGCAAAAGATTATCTGACTGCCCCTTTACGAACCCGTCAGAACTCAATTTGATTGGATTCTAAATCGAATTAGTACACGACTCCTATCTGTCATGCACTAACTCCCGATCGCCAACCTGCGTAGTGACGTCAGCAGCGCTCGGCCAATATCGGCATTTCGTCGGCTGTACATTTGAAAGATTTACGATAGTACATATATGTTGTTTATTGACTTGTTGCAATTAGAAAGGAAAGTTTTTTATATGAAATGTTTCATTACAGGTTATAAACTTGACGATAAGACACGAAAAAGTTATATTGATTTTTTTCAGGAAGTCCTTATTATGTGGTGCAAACGTATATTTGTATCGCTAATATATAATAATATTACACACTCGTCACACTATGTGCACCGTTTAATATGTTCTTTTGTTTTCTTTATAGGATTGGATTGCGTTCGTGCTTTACAACTATTGATTCTTCTGGAAAGTTTACGAGTTTTGGAAAACTTGATCGAGGCGAAAGGTTCCAAGGTTTACGCATTACAACTTCCACAAACACCCATATGTTGACCTTTCAACCTACTACATCCGAATTTACTGCTTGCCAACCAATAGAAACCATAAATGGAATTAATTACTTATCCAGCTCTTCTTGTGATATTAGTAATAGCAGTCTAAAGGACGTCGAGAACGTATTACTAGAATATGAATTATCTGATTATTTGTGTTTGGATAAACAAAATAAATAATTATTTGTATTCTGCCTATGAGGTTTGCTACAACGTAAATAAGTGTTAGAATTAAGAGATGATCCATGTCAATGTATCTAAATGTGATATTCGTTTTTAAAGACTAAGAAATATTAATATACTTGTTCATATTTGTATGAAATACATGGTAACTCTAATCGTTGACCGTTTATTTTATGTACCTCAGAGTAATTCCGAAACGACTCCGACGCACAATGTAATATTCTCAGGCCAGCCCCAAAGGACCACGCAACTTACTTTTATTTGCAAGAAATATACATAAAGCAATACCAAAGGTTATTTAAGTTTTTATACGTTCCAGGGGTAAAAATGCTAAGATGCATTTCATTTCATCCTAGGGATTTGGATTGTAAAGATTTACAGATAAAGGTGGAAGTAAACCAGAGACAATAAAATTATTCCCTAATTACATTTATCGTTATCCACGGACTTTGTCTGGAAGCATTAGTAGCACGATGCGACGAATAGCGCTAACCAGGGTACTTAGTTATGTCAAGATTACGATGATTTTAACAACGCAATTTTGTCTCGAATACGGCCAGCGCTTTGCTTAGTGCGTGGTGATTTACATCCTTCTTGCTTTCGTAAAACGTATCGAGTTACACCTCGTTTTACACCAACAAATGAAAGCGCGAGTTAGAACGCATTGAATTTTAATTGGCATCATCCATATATATTGATCTCTGGCGATTGGAATGATAATTTGGGGATTCCGAAGTAATTCATTGGACGGAAACATGTGTATATAGATTAGCCCTCTTATTTAAGAGGTATGTAAATTTTAGGTTACCAAAGAAGAGGGGTTACCTTTGATTTCTTTTAGGGTTTTAATTTTAAGTGCCGGTATAAATTCCGGATACGTTTTACTGTACGTATGATTCTTGATCGACATCCGAGTTTGGTAACCTTGGGTTCAGCCCACCATTGCCTACGAGTGCTGACGCTTTTGACTTATCTTTCCATCTGCTGATAACAAACGGCCATTTTGCTGTGAAATTGGTCACCGGGGCATGAAGGAGATTTAATATCAAGGATCGATGCTCATATGGGACAACTTCCGTAACTCTTTTTTAACAGTTGGTAGCTATTTTGCCCTTTTTTTTCGTTTGATTATTTAGATAAATAAAAGGATGATTACCTCCTTAATATGTAACCTCGTTGCAATGTGTACACAAACACTTTGACTGAATATAGTTCGACAATTTAATTACCTACATTCTTTTGTCAACAAAGTTAATAAGACATACAAGTTGCGCTAACTTGTATGTGTTATTCATGCCATAATTACGCGCTGTAATTATGGCATGAACCGCAACAACAAAAAGTGCGAAATAATCACATTCATTATTTCGAAATAAAGTTATTGTCCTGAAACTTTCATCAAAAGTGATCAAAGTACTGGATGTACGACGGCGAGTATACATTCTTTCAAACTTTGAACGCGGCTGGTGAAGTGTAAGGCCCCACTAAATGATTTTTTCGCTCTTTAAATATTAAATTTAAAGGTGTAAAGATTTGGAAATGCCTAAGAATATTCTTTGAAAAAAAAATTCGTATCTCTAAAAATAGGGGTTGATTTAGCCCCGCTATTCCTCAGCCAGGTCTGCAATTCTGTATTTGGGTATTATTGGAGATATTGGACAAGTTTTCAGCGTGTCTCAAACTCTACCAACTCTCCTAGTCCTACTATAATGAACTAACCATTTTGTCAACATCTCATGCGAGAACTTGGGAGGAATTTCGTTACGACCTCTAGCCATGCAAATGTGAACTTTAATAATAATATTTTTGCAATTTTCGATACCTATTTTCATAACTCGCCTTTTGGAGCTCTTATTTGTGTTTAATTTACTGTAGCGGGCCGTAGTTAATTATTGTTGAAGACAGTCCACAGAGCGATGTACGTTAAGATAAATACATACTAAATTTGGGGATAAATTCAACATGCTGGATCAATTTCCTTTTAATACTGCTTAAATGTTCACAATGAAATGTAAATAGAAACCTTTCCCTATCTGAACGTAATATTATTTGTTTGGGGTACGAAATACGCACATGCTCACAAATATTCGCTGATATTGTTTCAAAACTGGTAAAAGTAAACATACAATTTTGTTAGACGAAACATACTTATTAACACGAATTTAAAAATATATTTTAACCCATTTAGTTAAAGGATTTAACTGGTGTGTTCACGATCAATCAGCTTCTACGTTGTGTACAGGGCAAAATTTTATATAAAGCGGAAAACGATTACATTTCCGAGAATTTAATTAAAATTAAAAATTAAAATTCACCTCAAACAGTTTCCGATGTTACTTTTCAGATCCTTGAACATAATAATAAACTTGTTTAATTAATTTTTAAATGCATTTTAAGGGAGAGTTATTATGTGTCTTATTATGAAGTTAAACAGCAACACCACTTTATGAGATTTTACAAGTCGTCTCTGTGGAAGTATCAAATTATTACTATTTCTAATTCCCTACAAAATTGACATGTGTAATCCAACTAAAATATTTCCCCATATTAAGGTATAAATTATAAAAGAGCAACATGGATTCTTCCCACGGAGGTCGACCTGTAAAATTTAATCAGTTTTACTCAAGACCTAGCGAATGCGTTGGACGGAAATAAACAAATTGACTTAATAACAGGGTGTTTCATAACTGAATGTTAATATTTAAGGGGTCGATTTTTGGGTCCATTTTAAAAAGAAAACTTCATATGAACCTATGTCCTAAACGCCTTAACATTTGAGATACAGGGTGGTAAAGTTTTCAAAAATAAATTCTTTATTATTAATATTTGTAATACCACTTAATTTTAATGAAATTTGGCATGTATGTACTACTATGTATCCACATTTGTTTAATTTTCATCAATGGCATTCGTACGGAATTTCACATGCCGATTTTGGCAGATATTGATGGTACTCCACTGATTTCTCTGAAATTAAAAATTATTCTTGACATTACCAATCATTTCTAAGCAAATTTGATTGCTTTGTTTTTTCAATCCGATGCACGGTTTTCGTTTAAAAAAATAAAAACCGTTCTCTGCATGATCATGATTCATGACAATATCGTTAATATGACAATATCGCCGTGCAGAGAACCTGTATACCTACTGATGTTGTCAAATCATTTGACAGAGTCCATCACCAAATTTGATTGGGTAAACTCCCATACTTTGGTTTCAAAAACTATTAGAATCATACCTTACGAACCGATGGCAAGTGGTAATATGTCAAAAAATTATAAAGCAACATCTGGTGTTCCTCAGATTGCTGTTTTGGGCCCTCTATTTTTCTTATTATTTATTACTGACCTCGGTGATGTAGTACGGGGTTCAGCATATGCATTTTTTGCGGATGACTTTAAAATGTGGACAACTATCAACTCAATTTCTGATTGTTACTCTGTTCAAGAGTCAAGCAAATCTATTATTTTTTAATATATCTAAATGTAGCCACAGGTTACATTTACCAAAAAATTTAAACCTATGAACTTTCAAAACACTATGAATAAAAATTCACTTAGTATTAAAGAAACTATTAGCGATCTGGATGTTCTGTTTGACAATAAATTAACTTTTAATAACCATATTCAAAAAATAACAAATGATTCTTTATTCTTTAAAAGCTTTTATAATTAGAAACTTACGAAACTTTAACAATAAATTAACATTAACTATGCTTAAGTGAGATTTAAACTTAAATTTTGTGCTATTATTTGTTATATTTTCTCTGGGCTATCGATTTCGACTTTTAAGTCATCATCAGGCCCTAGCGTCAATTAGAATGAAATATAAACTTCGAACATTCGAATATTTGTAAAAAAAAATTAAACATTTACTGTCCCAAGTTTCCCCGCATTGGGGTTGAATAGGACAGTAACTGTTTTACACCGAAAATACATATTAAACTAATCAGGGGTTACTTGGGATGTCAGAAAAATAACTATAATACACCAGGACCCATCTTGAGTTAAAATTTTTTGCTCAGAGAATTATTTAGAGGGATGACAAACCCGATTTTTTACAAATATTTAATTGTTTATCACAATGCAAAAATACTTAAATAAAAAATAATGGTAGGTATCATAGTTTTTTTTATTATTTGTGTTATAAGGATCAAAAGAAAGTAAAAAAGTATTCTGTAAAAAAATAGTTAGTTAACGTTCTTTATTGTAACCAATCTGTATTTTCTAATCCATTAAGTGTATGGCGACCTCTAATAATGCTCCCGTGCTTTAGCACTCTCACAACTTTATCCTCTGTGGTATCATACTCACCAGATAAATTTGGGAACACAAAATGCTTGTTGTGTTTTATAGATTTTCTCAAAAAACTGCAACAAAGTTTCATGTGTCCAACTATAGTCTGGATCGATTCGGCAATTCCAATATAATATTTCTCAAGGCAGTCAACAAAAAGTAAACAGGTAACTCTAATTACATTTTTAGTTAGTTTTGCATGTTTTATAAATAATAAAAATGCCGTTGCCCGCGTTTAGACGCTTTTTTTAGATTATAGAATGTTTTTAAAAAAAATCCATGAGTTGGGCTAGGGACTAACTTGGGACAATGGTTGACAAACCAATAATTGATTGACGATGACAACATTTTATTCAGAAACGCATGAAAAGAACAAAATTCCTGAAATAAAGAGAAGCTTGCAAAGTTTGTTTAGACAAATTACCCCGCACGCAAGCGTTCCACAAATGATATAAGAAAATGTTAAAATTTTTCGGATTTCGGTAAACAAGGCGCACGCCTAAACACTGACAGCTTCTGAACTCGATGAATTAAATGACGAATTGCCGGTGGCTATTCAGACGGTACAAACTTTTAACTTTGATAACGAGAGAGCCTTGATATAAGGCCTGAGGGTGCACTAAACTGAATGCTTTTCCAACTTGGCATACGTTTGCCATATACTTATGTATATGTAACATTGTTGAATACATGCATAAGCTGGGCGATAAAAATACGTGCGTTAATTAAATCTTGTCCGATAACAAAATTTTTTATGGCAAACCACCAGATGTTTAAAATGGAAAAACAAATACGGAGATACAA